GGTATTGGTTCTTTGGTAGTGTGCTGTGGTGAAGTTTGTGTCGGTGGTCGGAGCAGCTTGGTCGTATCTCTTCAGTCGGCAATTGCAGGTGAGTTATCCTCACTATATCGACAGGGTCTACGACACCAAGGCCGGCCCTTTATCGGATGGAAATCCGAGTATTGTTTGTTATGTTATTGCTTTGCTAGATCTGCATCCTGGTATTTAGGATGGTGTTATGTTAGTGACCTGGTTAAGGTCGGTACCCGGTATATAGGGTAATGTTATGCTAGTGACCGGTTAGGTCAGAATCCTGGTTAGGATGTTGATATTCTATGTGATATGTTAGACTGTTTGTCTGGTTAAGGTTTTGTATTGCGATTAATTGTTTATGTGCACATGGTTGTTTGACGGGGGTTGGGTTGAGGCGGGTCCTGCTTTGTGCTGTAGGCCAACATACCTAGGGCGGACCGGATATTTCGAAGGCCCAGCGAGCGGTCCGGATAGGCTGAAGGCCCCAAGAGGGCGGACCAGACGTGCCGAGGCTCGGAGAGTGGACCAGGCCGACTGAAGGCCCGGTGTGGGCGGACCAGTCATACTGTAGACTCAGAGAGTGGACCAGGTGGATTGAAGGCCCGGTGTGGGCGGACCAATCACACTGTAGACTCGATGTACATGGCTAGACTCGGAGGGTGGACCAGGTGGACTGAAGGCCCGGTGCGGGCGAACCAGTCACACAGTAGACCCGATGTGCATGGCTGTTCTATTTACGATATGTTATGAGTATGTTTATGTGTGGTTGGTATTTTGGGGGTAACTCACTAAGCTCTCGGGCTTACAGTTTAGTGTATTGTTTCAGGTACTTCAGGAGATCGTGGCAAGGCGAAGGCGTGATCGTACCGTTCCTCATGTTTTATGATTTATGTGATATGGTTCTGGGGATACTCTGATGTTTAAACTATTTTGAAAACGAGATGTATGAACTTAATGGTTTTTGAACGAATTAAAATGTTTTAATTTGGCTCAATTTTTATGGGTGTTACAAGTTGGTATCAGAGCCTTGGTTTGAGTGAATTGGAGGAACATTCGTGTGAATCCAGTCTCAAATCAAGGAGAGATTTTCGAAAATAGTTTTCAAAAGGTTTTCAAAATAAGTAAAGGAGGACACAGAGGGTACGATCAGTCGGAGCCAGTAAGTAGACCCCAAAATACCATACAAGTTATTGATTATGTGATATGTGAGAACAGCATGCTAGTACTAGGCTAGGGAATTTCAGGAATTGCATGATAGAATTGCCTGATTATGTGATGCCTACTAGCCTAGGGTTTTCCTTATATGAGATATTCAGCTTTCCTCTAGGAGTGAGGATTGAGCGCTCGCCGTGTGTGTGTATATGGTTAGAGTGTTGTGGTGATAATTGAGACAAATATGGGTAGGTGTGGAAGGTAGTATGGTCCCGTACTACTGAAAGCACAGGACCCATACGCGTATCAAGGAAGTCACAACTCTCTAGGGTATCAGTTATGAGATAGTTCCCCGGGCGGGTATGTGATGTGTCTAAGGGTCTTGTTGGTGTATTGCAGTATGGCGATTACGAGACGTTTCGGGCAGGATCCGGTTCGGGATCGGGATCAGGAGAGGGTGGTCAGGATGGACCAGTACCACCCGAGGTCATTGGTCAGATGAGTACGGATGAGTTGGATGCCAGGATTCGTGAGATCCTGCATGATGAGGTTGCTGCCATGTTTAGGGCTGAGTTGCCAGAGATGTTTGGGTCGATCAAGACCGCCATGGTTGAGTACTTTGATGAGCGCTATGCAGCTCTTGCGGAGACGGCTGCCACGGCAGCTACAACGGCTGTAGCAGCGGCAGTGGGAGGAACCGGTCGAGGTTTTCAGTATCGGGACTTCGATAATACGAAGCCCCCTAATTTCGATGGAGTTCAGGATCCGATCGTTGCTATGAGATGGTTGTCAGACGTGGAAGGATGTTTCTTCACGTCTTCATGCCCTGCTGATCAGAGGGTGAGGTATGCTCTGAACCTTTTGAGGCTCGGGGGAAGGATTTGTGGAGGTTGACTACGGGATCTTATTCTGATGCGCAGCGGGCTGCGGTTACTTGGGATCAGTTCCGGGAGATGTTCAGTACTCGTTATGTTCCGCGGGTAGAGAGAGAGAGAGGTTGGCTCAGGAGTTCTTGGAGCTGAAACAGAATTCGGAGTCGGTGACGGAGATCACCAGGATGTTCACTGAGAGGGCGATGTTTTGCCCGGAGTTCGCGTCGGAGCAGGCTCAGATGTCCCGGTATCTGAGTATGCTCAAGAGGGATATTAGACAGTTTGTGTCCACGCAGAGATGTGATACCTTGTTAGAGTTGCAGGAGGCCGCCAGGCGGCGTGAGTTGGAGATTGAGTTGCAGTTGCGAGAGCAGAGGCAGGCCCCGATGCAGTCGCAGCCGGCGCCGAAACGGTTCAAAACCGTTGACTCCAGGATTGGGGGTAAGAGCAGCCACACTTGTGAGAAATGTGGGAAGGGTCATACCGGAGTTTGTAGGTCCGGTGGTGCGTGCCGCAAGTGTGGGAGAGAGGGGCATTATGCGAGGGATTGCCATCAGTCAGCGCCGGTACAGGATATGAGGATTTGTTATCACTGCCATTAGGTTGGACACTTGAGGGCCAACTGCCCACAGTTTGCTGCTGGATCGGTGCAGGCTCCAGGATCGGCCACTTTGAGGATTACTGGCGGGGGTCAGGGTGGAGCGGAGCCTCCGAGGGCTCAGGGACGCGCATTCCAGCTTACAGCAGAGGAAGTTAGGGCAGAACCAGATGCAGCTGCGGGTATGTTTCTATTTTGTTATCTTGTTATCTTGTTGTTTGCGTGGTATTGTAAATCCGTTCGTCTTCTTTTTCGCATGATTCATAGTATGATTGAAGATCTTAGTAGTTAGGAGTTGTAGTTGGTTAGCATCCAAGAGGATAGATGATCGGAAGGTAGGATATATGATATCTTTGCTGGGTATGGCACCTGCGATGTGAGAAGTGTTCAGCTGAGATTCTGCTTCCTTAGAGTTCGGGTGTGCGATGGCGGAAGGGTTATTCAGTGAAGGTTACTCACTCCCGAGGGAGTCAGTTCATGGATAAGAGGGAATATATGGAGTAAGGGCGATTGAGCTATGTCGGTCTTGGGCATCGGTGGTTAGTAGTCGGTGCACTAAGTGGGAGAGAATTGGAAAATTCTCCGGTGAAACAACATGCATCCAAGGATGGTTAGCTGTTTGGATTTCAGCAGTGTTTTGCTGAGGGTGTGGATCGGTGAGAGCAAGTGATAGACAAGTGGGGCGGAGCACAGACCATGGTTTTCGGAAAAGGTGACTAGTTGTTGTAAGGCTTAGGGTTAGGCCGGGAATTGAGTATATGGAATGGAGCTGGAGTTCGGAACCCCAAGAGGGCTAGAACAGTATGCATGGGAGAGATTCCCAGGAAGAATGGTTTAGGATGGTGTACAACAGTTTTGAGCGGTCCGGATAGACTGAAGGCCAGAAGGCGTACCAGTCAGACCGAAGGCTCAGGGAACGGTCCAGACAGGCTGAAGGCCCAGGAGGGTGGTCCAGACATACTGAAGGTTCTGAGAGTGGTCCAGATAGGCTGAAGGCCTGGTAAGGCGGTTCAGTCATGCTGAAGACTCTATATGTGTTAGTAGATCTGTATGCGGAGAATGAGTGGCTGTGTCGCCATGCAATAGTAATCGATATGGTCTGGCCCCAAGTGTTGAACATGATGATGGAGTCGGCCGGAGGCCGTGCGTGGGCCTAGTTAATTATGTGATCGGATTCGGAGTATATGGGAGTTCGAGAATAGCTGTTACTCTACATGGATAGTGTAGAGTGGAGTTTAGCTCAGTGGCACTTACAGGTGCGATAAGGGTTGTTGAGTAGACTTCCTCGAAAGGAAAGGTATGTAGCTCCAGAAGGAGTGTGGGTCCTCTGAGAGGAAGGCATCAGAGTAAAAGGATGATCGAGAGTGCTTCGGTTATTGGTAGTAAGCACTGGGATTGTACCAGATATATGGAAGCACATACGGGTTGGATGCCCGTTGAGGTTGTGGAACGGTTAACACTGACGCGGAGTCAGGGGAGCTCGGAAGTGATGCAAGGGTAGATCCTTGGATTCCGAATTATGGTTGTGGTCATGTGCTATGGATGTAGTGGTGTTCCATCCTAGGGATGGCTGGACCATCGTAGGCGTGCCTGGTCTTCCAGCCCGAGGCTGATTGGTCCAGGTACGATGTGTATGAACGTTATAGCTGGGTGTTCAGGAGGGTTGCTCGGAAGCTGTGAAATGTTCCATCATGTCAGCGCGATAAGGGATTTGATCCAGGGAGGAAACAGGATGAGTTTCCATCAGTGCAAGTTAATAGAGGTAGCGCCAGTTGGGCGAAAGATAACGACTTAATACTTCAGGAGATCGTGGCAAGGCGAAGGCGTGATCGTACCGTTCCTCATGTTTTATGATTTATGTTATATGGTTCTGGGGGATACTCTGATGTTAAACTATTTTGAAAACGAGATGTATGAACTTAATGGTTTTTGAACGAATTAAAATGTTTTAATTTGGCTCAATTTTTATGGGTGTTACAAACACATTACCTATATGTAAACAAATTGTAGGTTTAAAAGACTTAAGGATCTGAAGGTTTAAAATTACTCCGTTAAAGTTTTAATTTCAAGTCAAAATGTATTTTTCCTATTGCAGGAAAGGTAATAAAGAAGGATGGAAAACCGTGATTTTATCTTGGTAGCCATATACAAGGTACATGCAATTGAAAGAAACTAAAAAGGCTATCTTCCATTAAAATAAAATAAACTTATAATAAACATCGAGATCGAGAAGAACATTACAACAAAATAAGAATTAAGTAGAAAAAATGCGCACATCGAGGGCTTAGTGATCATCATCCATGTTCGTTGAACGAATAATCGTCAACGGAATTGAACGTTGTCCATAAACTCTAATTGATGAATGATTAGAACCAGTTCTTTCCGGCGGTAGGGGCCTTAGCCAGTGGTGAAAAAATCGAAGCGGCACAGAGGAACAACGAACTTAGGTTTTCCGGTTTTGGCAAAAGCGATTCTTTTGGTATATTAGGGGAAATTTCAATTTGGAGGCGGGATAATGTAATGTTATGGGCGGGATATGATTTTGACTGAAATCAAAAAACATTTTTATTATAAAATGTTTTATAATTAAGTGTTGTTTGTATTATATATATATATATATATATATATATATATATATATATATATATATATATATACTAGCCGTTTACCCGCGCCAAGCGCCGGAGCGGATATTTTATTCAAAAATTAAATTGTAGAGACAATTAATTCTTTTGCACAAATAGTTTACTACATATAAACAATTATCAGTATAATTAAAATAATAATATATAAATGTACACTCTTGATTACAAACCCAATTATGTCAAACTGTGCAAATGTTAAAATAATAATATATAAATGTACACTCTTGATTACAAACCCGATTAAATACTTGTTTTTTTCAGTATAATTATGATTTATGTTGTTTTTTTGTCACAACAGACAGGTAACAGATAAATCGACACTTAGGTAACAGATAAATCGACACTTAGGTAGCCAATATATAACTCACAGGAGCTCGATCCACTCCAAATTTCCCATCTTTTTCCACCTTTTCACTTTCTCTCACCTTTGACTTTGACTCTGACTCATTAACAACCCCTAAAATCCCCCTTTGTCTCAAACTCTCCCAAGAAACAACTGCTTTTCGTTTCATCTTATGCCCCTACACAACACTATCCTTATCCCACCTTTTTACCTCATTAAGCAACAGACTTTCATTCTCTTTCACATCATCTTTCATTCTTGGAACAAAAAATTCCGGTTTTGCCCCTGCCACCGCCATTCTTGGAACACCCAACACGTTCACAAACGAATAAGGAGTATCATGTCTTTTTTTCCCATTTGAAGATGAAAAAGCAGACAAGAAAACATCCTTAACATTTCTCATATGGGTCCCCGTTTGAATTTGACTTTGACTACTCAAGGTCCTACTACCTTTTGAAAGTCCAACCACTACATGATCTGTTTTAGGCCTTAAAGATTCCACCTTTTTGTCTTCTAACATTCCGGGAATTGAAGAGAATGAAAACTGACCTTTGATGGAGATGGAGGGTAGGATCTTGGGGGTGGGGTGAAGTTTTTTTGGAGGGAGTTGATTTTTTTCGGGCGGTCAACGGCTGCCCCTTCGACCCATCTGACCACTGCGACCCGTGAAGTGCGATTTGGGTCGTATTCGATTCGTTCAACTACACCTACTGATGAAGTGTTGCGTTTTAGGTCAATTGTTCTTTGTGACCGTTTTGCCCCTCCCCCTCTGTGGAAAATTGTGATACGACCCTTTGAATTTCTACCTGCTGACTTGTCTTTACCTGTAACGAATTGCCTAAGTGGCCTTTCAGAGCTCACATTTTGAGCACCTGTAGGAATATGATAAAGTCAGTAAAATTGTTTTTGTTTGGATAAATCATAGATAAATTTCAAATAACAATATAATCAGTAATGTTCAAATCCTAAGCACCACATCTCTACAATCAAATTAAGAAAGCTGGAAATGACATCTCTCTGGTACTGATTATCCATCTTGAATTGAAAATATGCAGCTTTAAATACCAATTTCTTTTTACTTTATCAGCATATGATTCATTCTTTCAATATATTTGCATTTTTACATGTACAAATAAGTGTTTACTGAAATGTACATGAACAAAATCAACTCTTTTTATTTAAAAGAGTATACCAGGGTCTAGGAATGCCAAAGAAAGTTTCGCTTCTGATGTCAAAAAGGTTGTTTCTTATTGTAAAATTGAAGTTAGGGTTCAACAAGAAGAGCAACAAGCAAACAAATTCAAAAAGTCACCTGTTTCATTAGCAATTCATAAAACACGTGTTTTCGGCATTACTATTACCAAATTAACACTCTAAGAGAACCAATATCCCAGCAAAGCTGAAACCTCAAAAACAGAACTTTGCCTTGGGTGACTACTGATACCCTTAAGCATTTTGACCTTATACAGACGTGGGTTTTGAGGCTAGAGACACACAGACGACACTCGAACATGTAATAATTTGAAAGAGCTAGGTTTGACATCAAAACTGGAACAAAGAATCTGTATTTGCATATTAATTCCGACATCAAATTCAATCTTCATTGAGCCCCTTTTTCAGATTCATTTCTCTTGAACATGACAATTTCAACTTCGAATTTGCATTTAAAAAAAAAAAAACTTACGGCTGATAGAGTGCTTGGATCTCATCTGAAAGCTGCTAATCCTCGAAGTAATCTCAAGCGAGTGGTGCGAGTGTAGAGGACAGAGGAGATAAAGAGAGAGCGTGGTGGCTTCCTGTCACCGAAAAAGTGTTGCGAGAGCACAGTAGGTGGCGGCGACGGCGATCAGATACAGATACAGTGAGTGGTGCAAGGTTGGAGAGTGGGTGGTGATTCACTACCGATGGTGATGATGACGATGAGTTAGGCGGATGAGGTGCGATGTTGGCTTTTCAAAATAGGGTTTTTGCTATTTGTTTGAGGGAAAATGCTAGTGTAGAGGACAGAGGAGAAAAATAGTATGTTTACTTTTTTGATTCAATTTATGAAACGTCAATGTTAATGCCATTAATTTTTCAAACGAAAATGTGAATATTTAATGCAATTAATTTGTAAAACGGAAATGTGATAGAAGTATTAAAAGGTATGAATAAATTGATTGTATATTATGCAGTAGGTGTAGTACCTCTTAAATTTCAAGAAATTGACAATATCCTTAATAATATATATATATATATATATATATATATATATATATATATATATATATATATATATATATATATATATTATTCCTCCCTAATAAATGAAAATAATTTTGCTACATGCCACTCTCTCATTAACTTGGACACGTGTCATTTTTTGATATTTTTGAATAAATGTTTTTTTCATTTGTTATTTTCTCTTTTTTTATCTTTTCTTAATTAACATATCATATTTACACATCAATTAATAATTGTCTTAATTGAAAATAACCAAAAAATTATAATATTACAACTCATATATTATTTAATATGTTTCCTTTTAAATGCAAATTTTAAATTTCAAATTTAAATTATTTTTTGTTTAAACCTTCATATTTAATTTTTTATTTTTTTAACCCATATAACAATTTTTTATTTATTTCAACCTAAATTCAAGTCAAATGTGGGCACATATTTTTTTCATGCGAATAGTACTTATTTGAATAATTATTATTGGGTTCTAGATATTTATTAAAATTCATATTTTCAACATTAGTTATTATGTATTGATGTTTCTCCATGTTCTAGTTTTGGGTTTTAATAACAGTCTTATTCGGGTTTTGGATATTCTAGGTATAGGTCTATTGAGTCTGGATAAACTGAGTAAAATACCGGGTTTAAGCTAAGAAAGACTCGAAATTTATAGAGTTTTTCTTATGATACATTGAGTCGACCTAGTAGACATTGGATATGCACAAAAAAAACAAGCTTCAAGAAATCTTGCTTTTCAATATGTGAGCGACGAAGATATGGTTTTTTTGTTCCTAAGGGTTGTGGGCACGGTTTACCTTACGGTTTCCACTGTGGCAGTGGTGAACACCATCCCCGCCCTGCGGTCATCAATGTGGTTTGGTCGCATATGGCTAGATTCTGCCACATCTTCTATCTCTACCATTCTCCTCTTCACAAGTTTCAAGAGTCAAATTCTTTTAAATTCATTTTTTTTTCTTTTTTACCTACAAATGATAGTCGGTTTCGAATACGTCATTCGGGTGACTCGGGTTCATGTCATCCAACCAATTGTGGGTCATCGACCATCCATGATCCTTTAATGGGTCCAAGCTTTGCCTAGGATGCCTCCAAATACTTAAAAAATTTATTGGCCAATTTTGTAAAATAATAATTGTGGTCTTTTATCTAATAAAAAATACCTATAGTTTGGTTACGTAGAAAATATTGTAGCAAGTTAGCTACAAACTTTGATTCCATAGCAAAGACATAGAAAAATAACTACATATTTTAATTCTGTAGCAAATTCTATAGCAAAATAGCAACAAAATTTGATCTGTAAAAAATGTTCATAGCAAAATAGCTACGGATTCCAATTATGTAGCAAATTCGTAGCAAGATAACTACAAACTTCAATTATGTAGCAATTTTTGTAGTAAAATAGCAATGGATTATGATTCCGTAGCAACTTCTGTAGAAAAATCGCTACAAACTTTTAATCGTAGTAAGTTTTGTAGTGAAATAGCTACGAATTATGATTTTGTAGCAAATTTCGTTACAATCTACCTACGACTTTATTTTTTGTAGTAAAATTCCGTAGTTACTAAACTATTAGCTATGGAATGCAATTTTGAAGCAAATTCTATAGTAAAATTGCTACGCCTACCCATTCCGTAGCATATTCCATAGTAACATAGCTACAGATTCTACTTCCGTAACAAATTTCCGTAGTTATTCAGGCTTTTTCTAGTAGTGATTTTAGGGTGCCATGGAAACCCTCCAAGGTCCTATACCAAATGCCACGGGAACCCCCCACGTAGTCTTCCATGCAAATAACATACTATCATATCGCACATTCAATCAATAACCGTATCTCATAAAATGGGTCGGCCTTGGTGCTCCTACGCTGCTCCTCCCAAACTATCTATAATCAATGAATAAATAACTCAGCATAATCCCATAAATACCCCCGGGGTCAACCCTGGTCAAAGTCAAGGTCATTAGTCAAGGTCAACAGTCCATATTGACCTTGACTCGTCGAATACAACCAGTCACTCGTCGGGTTCCCTGCTTAACTCATCGACTCGCCGAGTCACCCGAGGGACTCGTCGAGTTCCTTGATGTTCATGGCCGTAAACCACCAACCGTACACCCTTGACCGTGAACCCTTGGCCGTAAATGAGAAAACCCTCTCGACTCGCTGAGACACCAGAGGGACTCGACGTGTTCTCACGTATTCGGTTCTTTCCAGTGGGATTTAAGGTTTCAAACTTCAGATCCATACTCTCCTAGTGAATATGTCACGTAAAGTTACAAACTTTACGTGCATGCATACTCACCTTGTTAGTGTGCCGGTTAACCACACGCGCTCCACTAACGACTTGGTAAGGTACAAAGTGTAATTTCATGGGTTAGCACATATTTCACATTTTCCTAAAGTAACTAAAATTGGGAATTATTAAAGTATAGTTACTTTATAATTTCATGATACTTTTTAATGAGCATTAAGGTCCTATCCTACCCGTTCGGCTAACTACCCTCCACCAGTCAAGGAAGCGGTGGGTGAGAGTGGACACCCATTAAAATGCCAATTTATAGGCAGTAACCTTATACCCCCCTTATAGACCGACTTCGTGAATGAGGCCTACTAACGGTAAGACTGACTTATTCTTATACATATCTATATATTTAAACTTTTAATATAATAATAATATAAGGGTTGAATTTTAAACTTTTAAAATTCTAAGGTTCAATTTGGAATTAAAGTATTAGGGTGTAAGACTTTACAAATTCCAAAACTTGAGGGCAAGTATTGAAACTATTCAAGACTTTTCATTTCATAACTTATGAATTTAATGGTCCATTAAAGTGAAAACTCTTCATTTTATGTAACCTCTTATTCTTTAATGATACTTTTAAAGAAGTGACTTTTGGTTATCCATAACTTGAGGACAAATTATGGACTCCATCATTAGGCATTAAGATCAAAAATCATACTAACAAGCAAGTTACACATAATTCCTATGATCTTATAAAACTCATAAGTATAAACATTCATATCAAACAATTTCAAGAATCATATTAACACATATAAAACTTGAAATTTGATAATAACCATTGAATATGGATTAGCATAATCATTACCTCTTCAAAAAACAGATTTTATAAGTCCAAAACAGATTAGGGTAATGATTCTAGTCCATTTCCAGCAGCAAAACTCGAAAATCTGCTCACAGGGCATTCTACTCGTCGAGTGCATGATCCTACTCGACGAATAGGATGAATTTACTCATGGACTCGTCGAGTCCCCCCATGGACTCGGCGAGTTCATACGAACAGTGAACAGTTTTCGACTTTTTCAAGCAGTTTGCATCAAGTATACAGAAAACAAGCCTAGGCTCTGATACCACTAATGGGTTTTGAGCATTCTAACACTCCTATGGTGTACATGCAACCCTAGAAACCTTGGATCTATGTTTTCTCTAATATACATGCAAATTTGATTTTCCAAGGTTTACATCCTAACTAGCATGTTATGGGGAACTTGTAATACAAAAATCAAGTAGAATAACATACCTTTTAGTAGCTTAGATTCCTTGATGACTTTGTGAGCCTAGCACCCCAAATGTGACGCCTCAAATGCTTCACACAACACCACAACACTTAGAATAACTTGAGAGAAGTTCACTATGACACAAAATCGGCTTTCCCTCTTGTTCTTACACTTAGTGGTCCGATTTTGCTAGTCAAGGGGTCCTTTTATAGTTGTGTCACAAGTAGGGTTACCACATGTAAACCCTAATTGACATGGCTTTTCATTTCCCATGATCCATGGGTTTATAACCCCCATGGACTATCCATGGAGCACCTTATGGGTTTTAGCCCAACTCCATAAACCATGGATCATTAGCCCACTATATAAGAATGGATGATTTACACAATCAACCCCATATATTTAATTAGTCTCCTTTTTGATCACCAAATTAATTCTTGACCAATACTAATTAAATAATATTATTAATATATTAGAACTTATAATATATTAATAAACCTTAAGTGTCCTTTTTCTCATTTTGTCTATCAAAGTGTTGCAATGCCATGCAACCCAAATGGACCATGCCGGGTCGGGTCAAGTACATACCAAATATAGTTATGAACTTAGACACTATATCCAACAGTCTCCCACTTAGATAAGTCTAATAACTATAGTTGCAGATATGACTTCAGAATCCAACTAGCAATCGTAGCTCTTTCAAAGTCTATTGGAACTGAGATGATGATGATGATACTCCATTTAAGATAAGTTATCATATAATCCTCTGCTCTCAAGATATCAGCCGGACAAATACATGGAACATGGTCTTACTTATTGTCCAACATTTGTTTCTCGATCTCTGATTTGTTTGACATAGAACTAAATTGAACACATCAATTAGGTTCTGACCAGGCCCGGTACATAGGTCAAAACAAAATCATCGAGGGGCCCAGATATCGCTTCTAATCCTAGAAGGAACAAATAAACTTCGACTCATATTCTTGTACTGACTACTTGTTGAATTATGCACAAAAGCATGTTTTATAACATCGAGTTACCAATGCGTTTTCGTACAATCAATGTATAACCAACTCATAGTCAACAACTCATATCTCTAGGTTTGAAGATTTATATGATATTACCGTCTCACGATCACTCGTGATAAATTCCATGAAGTGATACAAGTGAGCGTGGGTTGAGTCCAATACTCAGACCTTATGAGCACTCATGAATGTTGCAACAACCATTGCTATGTATAATACACCTTAGACAATCTACAAACCCAATTCATGACGGTATTAATTCAATACCTACTTCCAAAGTATGACTGACTGTGGAGAGTTTGAAAAATATAATTATTCTGGAAGTCAAAACATGCAAAATTGAAACAATAGTAAACGATTAACATATGATAGCAACACTTTACTCATAAATAAATAACAACTTTTATTTAATCATCAAATGTCAATTACATTTTACAAGTTTCAAAAAACCATCTAATTATTAAAACTAATATCATCCTTCAGCCCGATGCGCCTCGCATGCTGTAAATGCTTAACCCTACTTAGTCCCTCCGTGAGGGGATCTGCTGGGTTCTCATCTGATGATACCCTCTTTGCCACGAGGAGTCCTTCTTCTATTCGATGTCTAATGAAATGGTATTTTCTGTCAATGTGTCTGGATCTCCTGTGATCCCTTGGTTCCTTAGCTAAAGCAACCGCACTTTCATTGTCACAGAAAATTTCCATTGGCTCTTTTATAGCTGGTACAACTCCAAGGTCTCCAATGAAGTTCTTTAGCCATATCGTCTCCTTTGCTTCCTCGCTTGCTGCTATATACTCTGATTCGCAAGTTGAATCAACTACCGTCTCCTGCTTGGAACTTTTCCAAGTAATTACTCCTCCATTTAGGATAAAGACCCAGCCTGACTGAGTGTAACACCCATAAAATTCAAGCCAATTTAAAACTTTTTAGAACATTTAAAACCATTAAGTTATTACAGTTTGTTTTCAAAATAGTTTAATCATCAGAGTATCCCCAGAAGCAAATCATAAAATCATGAACTATGAGGAGCTGTACGATCACGCCTTTGCCTTCCCGAGATCATCATAAGTACCTGGAATAATAATCGATAAATGTAAGCTCGAAAGCTTAGTGAGTTACCCCCAAAATACCTATACACACAACAATATACATGTAATCACAAACAGCATACTATGGGTCCAATCAACCATCGGGTTGGAATACCCCAGGCCCTCAACCAACAGGTTGGAATGCCAATACACTATGGGTCCAATCAACCATCAGGCTGGAATACCACAGGCCCACAACCAACAGGTTTGAATGCCCACATACTATAAGTCCAATCATCCTCGGGATGGAATACTCACGGCCCACAACCAATAGGTTGG